GCAGCCGCCGCTGCAGCAGCCGAAAACGGCGGCGGTTTCGATGAGAATGGCGACGAAATACCACCTCCACCTCCACCGATTCCTTTGGATGATGATGAAGAGGACCTAGCGGAGGAGGAGAGCGAAGAGCAGCTGAATGAGCGGATGGCCTTTCTGCGCGTCAGTCAGAAGAGGGACGCCTACGCCGTCTGCCGGGACTTTCACATTGACCGGCTGGCGGGCCGCTTTGGCCTGACGGCGGAACAGTTTGGCGAGCACCTCTCCGAGGGCTACCTCCGCTATGAGATTGAACAGGAGCCCCTGGAGCCGCTGGAGGCGGCGAAGGAGTTTATCTGCCGGCGATTTCCCACCGCGGAGAAGGTCCTGGAGGCGGCCACTAACATGGTCGGGCGGCAGATTGCCGTCGACCCCTCGGTCCGCAAGACCGTCCGCCAGGTCTTCTACGAGCGGGCGAAGGTGTGGGCGAAGCCGACGAAGAGGGGCGCGAAGGAGATTGACGAGTCCCACTACTGCTACTCGATGAAGTACCTCAAGGACAAGCCCATTAGCTCCTTTGTGGACGAGCAGTTTCTGCTGCTGCACCAGGCGGCCAGTGAGGGCCTGGTGGAGATGAAGATCTTCATTGACCGACGGGACGAGGATGAGGAGGAGAAGGTCGAGGGAGAAGGTGGTGGAACCGGTGAAAATGGCGGCCTGCCACCGCCCGGAAGTGAGACGCCGAGCAGCGTGCACAGCAGCAGCAGCAGCAGGATGGCGCCCACCTCGTCGCCTTACCTCGATGAGATCAAGTACCTCTTTATTAGGGTAAGTTTTGGAGAAATGCTGGTATTTAAACTAAAGGTTTACCTCTCGCTTTTTTTCTTCTTTTTAGGACGAGTTCAGCATCAACGTCCAAAATTGGAACGCCCAGCGGACGCAGTCACTGAAGGTGGCGTTGCGCATCATGAAGCGGTACTTTGTGAAGGAGCTGACCAATCGGGCGCTCAACGAGGCGCAGTTTGCCATTCTACAGGTAATGAACGGTTTTTTACTTCATTGAATGTATAACCAAAACCTTTCTTTTTTAGCTTTGCGGCCAGAAGCTGCACAGCCACCTCGCCGTGGCGCCCTTTGCCTTCAACCCGCGGGAGGCCCGCCTCGAGGAGGACGACGAGGAGGACTTTGACACGCGAGGCGGAGTTCGAATTCTCGCTCTGGCCTTTGACCCGACCAACGAGGAGGCCAGTTACTGTGCGTCGATTGACGGCGACGGCGCCGTCACCGACTACCTCAAGCTGGAGCACTTTATGCTGCGACGGGACTTTGGCCCGGGGGCGCGGCTGTCGGAGAAGGAGGCCGCCTGTCGGTACAATGACCGGGAGAAGTTGAAGAAGTGAGTTTCATTTTAATTTTTGTATTAGTTTTTAACTTCTCTTACCCTTCTTCTCCTCATTAGGTTCATCTTCAAGCAGAAGCCGCACGCGATTGCCATCGGCTGCGACACCATCGTCACGCGGCACGTCCACGAGGAGGTGTGCTCGGTAGTAAGGGAGCTGCACGAGCGCGACCGCTTTCCCCTCCTCTCCGTGGAGTACCTCGACGCGGAGGTGGCCACCATTTACATGAANGGTGCGGGAGCTGCACGAGCGCGACCGCTTTCCCCTGCTCTCCGTGGAGTACCTCGACGCGGAGGTGGCCACCATTTACATGAACT